TATAGAGTCAGAAGGGGGCTGAAGCTCAGTCACTTGGTGGCCATAGCCTGGAGGGAGGGCCTGCAGTGTTCCTGCTCCTGACATCCCTGAAGATGTCCCAGTTCCTGCCCAGCCTGGTCCTGGCTCTCTGGCTCGTGTCCGACAGTGTGCGAATCCTCCTGTTTTCTTGCCAACTTTAGAAATAGTTTTTGTTCCTTGCAACTATAAAACCCTTGCTGATTCACAACTGTCAAGGAGTTGCCAATCTAGAATTCTAGAGAGCAGCTAACACAGTCGCTTGGTTAATCATTGGTAAGGATGTAAGGGATACATTGGTGAAGAATTGGGTATGGGGCAGGTGTGCAGAGAGAGGCTTTGGAAGATCTTCCAAGAGTCTGTTACAGAGAGGCAGCATGGTTCAGGACAGTCCACAGCAGAACACGGAGAGACTCCAGTGTGTCGGGCATTATTCTAGGCCCCACGGGGAAGCACAGATGAGACAATAACTGTGAAATAAACTAGAATACAATGTGATATGTGAAACGGTAAATGTATCTTCAAAGTATAGGAATAGTACAAAGGAGGGTCAGGGAAGGCTTTTGGGAGGAAGGTATATCTAGGTCAGAAAGACGGGAGCGAGGATTGGCCAGGCCAACAAGAGGGGGTGGATGGCAGGTGCAAAGCCTGGGACACAGGAGGCAGCTTGGTGTGCTCAGTGGGTAACCAGGACTTTTTTTGTTTTTAATTACCTTCATGTTTTTAGAGCAATTTTAGGTTAACAGCAAAACTCCGCAGAGAGTTCCTGTATACCCCCTACTCCCACACATGCAGAGGCTCCCTGACTGTCAATGTCCCTCACCAGAGAGGTACATTTCTTATAATCGCTGAACCTACGCTGACATGGCATCATCAGCCGAAGTCCGTAGCTTACAACAGGGTTCACTCTGGGTGTTGCATAGTGTATGGGTTTGTATGACGTATGTATGATGTATGATGACACATATCTACCACTATAGTATCATACAGAATGATTTCACTGCCCTAAAAATCCTCTGCGCTCTATTCATCCCACCCCTCAAACCCCTGGCAAATACTGATCTTTTTACTGTTTCCATAGTTTTTGCCTTTTCCAGAATATTATAGGGTTGGAATCATACAGTACATAGCCTTTTCGGATTGGCTTCTTTCACTCAGTCATAGGCATTTAAGATTCTTCTGTGTCTTTTCATGGCTGGATAGCTCATTTCTTTTTAACACTGGATAAAGTTCCACTGTCTGAATGTACCCCAGTCTATTTATCCATAGTGACCAGTAGTTTGTGACTGAATGTGTGAGGGAGAATATTGTGGTGGGCAAGGCCCACTGTTGCTAGAACATGGAGGCCTTCTCCATAGTACATGGGAGCTGGTCCTCGTCGAGTAGGTTTGGAGCCCACAAAGGGATATTCAGCCTGAGGGAGTAACGTGAAGACTGGGTCTAAGACCACACATGGACCAAGTTACGGGCTGTGGGTTCCATCTCAGCTATGCAACCTTCTGAGCCTTAGTTTACTCATCCTTTAGCTGGGCTGATGCTAATACCCAGCCCGGCCTACATCAAAGGGTTGCCATGAGACTAAGCTGAGAGGATCCAAGAGAGAGCAGTATGAATTGTTATGCAGGGTGCCCAGCAAGGATTTTTATCTCAGTAAAGCCATCCCTCTCCTCCTCCTCACTCTGCTCTCCTCAGCTTATCTAGATGAATGCTGTTCTAGCTTATGTTTCTTCTGGTCAAAACCCCGAGCAGGTTCCCTTCCAGATGGGAGAGATGGAATGTTCTCCACTTACCTGGGGACAACCACTAGGGCCCCAGTCACCGCCCCCCCCCATTTTATCTCTTGACTACATTGGGCTTTGGGTAATAGAAAAGGTCTTGAAACCACAGCTTGGTCTAGTCCAGTCCTGATGAAAACGTTCATCTGCACGTCCACAACAGGAGCCACGAGTCACATGTGGCTACTGAGCACTTAAAATATGGGCTAGCACAACTGAAGAACGAAGTTTTTACTTTTATTCATTTTTTAAAAAAAGATTTACTTATTTAAGTAATCACTACACTCAAGGTGGGGCTTGAACTTACAACCTTGAGACGGAGACCTGAGCCAAGATACAGAATTGGACACTTAACCGACTGAGCCACCTAGGTGCCCCTACTTTTATTCATTTGTAACGAATTGGAATCTAGATTTAAATGGCCACACGCCACATGGCCAGTGGCGACCACACTGGGCAGCACAGGATGATAACCCCTTATGGCACAAAGAGGGAACTGAGGCAAGGGGGATGTGCCGCAGGTCACAAGCCAGTGAAAGATCCAGCAGGCCGCCTGCCTCCTCTTTCAGCAGCGTCCACCCCAGACCATCACAGACTCAGACCACATTTGTCCCAGATTGAAGTAAACAAAGAACGGGCTGGAGCATTCACTCTGGAGCCCCCACGGGGTTTGGCACCCCGCTCAGGAGGCTTGGCTGTCCTCAGCTCAGCCTGCGATGCCCTTTGTGGTGTCCTGGCCCGCAGATGCAGGCAGGCCAGAAGCAGGCAGGCCAGAGCAGGGCAGGGGTCAGGGGGCCTCGCCTGAGCAGCTGCAGACTCGGTGACCCCTCCCTGAGCAGCACGCTCCTTTCCCCTGACCCAGCTTGGATCAGAAGAGCTGGATCAAGGTGGAGGTCAGCCACATCTCTGCAGCTCATGCACGCATTCCACCTGCTCATTCCCCAGGCCTGCCCCCTCAGAGGTACCCAGGTGCAGGATCAAATTAATCCCCATTCTTTATCCGGAGGCTGGCATGCAAATGTCCACCCACCCGGGGAGAGTGGGCACAGAGTTAGGAGTGAGGCTGAGTGACATCCAAGCCCTCAGGAGAAGGGGGATGGCAGGAGAGATCGCTGGCACCTTCCTCTAGCCATCTGTCCCCACCAAATCCTGTGTGAATGCACTTCGCTGCGGCCAATGCTGGGGACTCATGCTCCAGGTGCCCGGAGACCTGGCGGGACCACTTGTCAGCCCCGTTTCCTTAGCTGGAAGATTCGGCATCTGCTCTCCCTTTCTTCCTCTCTTTTTCGATTCCCCACCCTCTCCCTCTTTCCCTGGTCACTTCTCTTTTGTTGGAGTAAATTTTTTTTTTAAACATTTTTTTTTTTTTAAGATTT